ATGTGAACAGGGGTATAAGAATCAACAGAGAAGTCAGATAAGCTTTATTAGAGCCAACTAATGATCATTACAAACAACTGTTCTTCTTAGTAAAAGTACTGTAAGAATTCAATTAGAGGTAACTAAGGAATGTTTTAGCTTTTGGTAGCCTTTCCCCCAGCCTTGACTGAACAGGGGAGTGAAAACAGTAAAACTTCTTATTGCTGTGTTGGCCACTGAAATTAATTTTAAGCTACACTGTTAAGTCACTATTTGTGCTAGTTAATACCAGTTGTCTTGAAAGACTGGAATCATCTCAGTTCTGTTTAACTTCAGGTTTGCCTGTGCAAGTTTAGGTTTGGTTCGTTGTTTTCTTAATAAGATTAAAATGACAGACTTTAAAAGCCAAACAGCTGCGTGTGGCAACTTCGCTTCAATGATTTGTCTTCACAGATGAAAAAGAGAGGTTTGACCCTACTCAGTTCCAGGACTGTATTATTCAAGGTTTAACCGAAACTGGCACTGACTTGGAGGCAGTAGCAAAGTTTCTTGATGCTTCTGGTGCAAAACTTGACTATCGCCGCTATGCAGAAACGCTTTTTGACATCCTGGTGGCTGGTGGAATGCTGGGTAAGTCCCTTTGATTGGGATGCTGTCAGCCTTTGTTCACTTGACTCTACAAAAGCTCAGTTTTCTTTCAGCGTGAAAACTCTGCTAAAGAGCTCATTGAGTGTATAGAACAGGGTTTAAATTATCTGTGGTAAACTATCTGACCATCTTGGTGACTAACTGAGCAATCAGATTACTGTAGAAATACTCTGTATACCCTACTGCACTTTTGCTTGAGTGAGTTTGCATTCTTCAAAGTGTAGACTGTACAAACTTGGCTTAAAGGAAAATATATTGGATTTTTTTTTTTACCAGGAGTGGATCTTGACTCTGTAGTCAAGTTCCCTTCTGCTGATGTGAGATGGATGAATGCTTGTTTGAGGTGTGTGGTCTGTGGTTGCAAGACCAACGGAGTTCTCCTGAAGGATTCTGACATGATTGTGTGCTTTGTGCACCCCGCCTGTTATTTTGGAAAGTAATATTGTTTAGAGAAGAATCTGATGTGCCTACTTTTGGAAATGCTATTACAAATCGCTTGTTGTTGGCAATAGCGAGGTCATGGGCTCTAGCAGATGTCAGGGAGTGAGAAATGAGAGGGTGGTCGAGTCAGCAGAAAACACAGGGAACTGAGGAAGTGAAATGTGATGACGAAAGATCTTGTAAACTCATGTGCACACTGTATGTAGAGAGCAAAGAGCAGAACAGATGCTCACCAACCAGGTAAGAAGTAGATGAAGCTAAATGAGGTTGAAAAGTAGTGTGAAAAAAAAAAGTGGTACTTCTAGATTTAGACTTTACATTTCCTACTTGACTAAATACTGTTTAATGAGAAGGTGTTCAGATGGCAGGCAACCATTTAAAATACAGGCTGTGAAGAGGACCCTTTATGTTGTCTGCCTAGACTGGAAAAGGTCTGTCTCAGATTTTAGCATTTGTTATGCAGTAGTTGGGGGGAAGGATTTAAATGAGAAATTTGGCGGTTGCAGAAGATTTTCTGTAATGTAACAGAAATAGAATTCAAATTACCTAAATGCATAGGGGGAGGAGAGGAAATGCCTGATTCTGGGCCACAGTGAGGCTGTGGATGGCAGTTCTGCAGTGGGGGTGGCTAGTTAGGGAGGATGCATCTGTTGCGTGTTCAGGTGGTCTTCACACTGATACTGTAAAATGTCAGGTGTCTTGCTCAAACAAATGCTGAAAAGCATGGCTTTCAAAATGGTTTAATTTCATTAATCATAGAATCATTAACTTCATTAAGCGTGCCTGCTTATCTCAAAGCTGTGTATTGGAACAGTGTTATGTAGACTGAAGTTACTGTGATGTTCCTTTTGGCATGAGGCTCTTTTGCTGATGTTACAAGAGCTGGTAGCATGAGTAAGTAAACTTGTCTGCCATGTGGAGCATCGCTGCTTGAAATTGTTAATGTACAAATTATTACAGACTGTGGGTTTACATTCAAGAGTCTTAACCAGTGCATACTGTGCTAGGAAGTGTTCCTTCTGGGAATGAGGCTGAGAGAAGGGAAAAATGCATTGCTGCATTAATGGTGATATAGGGGTCCGTTACTCAACTCCCTCTCTGTAGTCTACTTGCCTAATAGTTTACTTGACTGGCTTTGATCTTTAGTCAGACAAGGCCAGAATACAAACTGGCATCCTGTTACCTTACCACCTTTTAATATTCTTACCGCTAATGCTTATCTCCATCTTTAGGTCATGTTTCTGACTAATATGTAACAAAAACGATCTCCCTTATATGTAGGGTGGCGTAGAAATCGGTGATGAGGTATTCTGGCACTGGAGTTGGTGACTTGAATTCACTCTAGTTAGTGAAGCAGCCTGGCTACCAGCAAATGCGTGTATTAAACTGAAGAGGAATGGTGAAAAAGCATCTTCTAATTAGCAGCTAAAAAGCTGACGTGCCTTTCAAGACTGAAGTTTCATGGGGTGCTCTGGGGCGCTGCATTTTGGACGTGCATCTCTGTGTTTCATCTCCTGTTGTGACTTAGTTTGTTATTTAAAAGACACTTACAAGGAAGCACTATTGCAGCAGACACTGAAAAGGCACTTGCTAGGATTAAGCAGCTTTAGTGGCTTCCTTTAAGGGAAGAGGAGCTCATATGGTCATGTTAACTTATCCATATGTTGTTAACTTACCCATATGTAAACAAGATGTGTTGCCAATCCAGTTAGCAGTAGGGGGTCAGAATATTTAAATGTTCACATCTAAGCTACCGAGTTTAAAGTTCCACTACAGCAGTGGAGCAGATGGAAATGTAGGGGGGGTCTTCAGTGATCCAGTCATTCAGTTCATCATGAAAGGACAACGTGTTGCGTGTTACAGGTATTGGAATTCATACTGTGGAGACTATTTGGTACTGTCACTGGGGAGTAATACCACTAATGCTGAAACCCTTCTTTAGCCCCAGGTGGTACCCTGGCAGATGACATGACACGCACAAACGTCTGTGTATTTGCAGCACAGGAAGACCTAGAAACCATGCAAGCATTTGCTCAGGTTAGTTCTGAAATGAGTACAATCTAACTTAAGCTGTTTAGTGGTCAAAAATTAAATGTTTGTGTAGTTGGAAGTTTAGGTAAAAATAATGCATGGCTTTAAGAAGCTTACTAGAAGAGGTCGAGTAGCACTGTTCTAAGCTAAAAGTGCTCTAAAGAGTTCAGACCAACTTTACTGAACTTGATTTTTTTAAAATTCTAATTAAATGATAGTTCAGAGCAAAAAATAACATACTCTCTATCTTTTTAGGTTTTTAACAAGCTAATCAGGCGTTACAAGTACCTGGAGAAAGGCTTTGAAGATGAAGTCAAAAAGGTATGGAGTAGGTCCTTAGCAGCAGACAAATAAACCTTCACATTCTGCTAGCTAATCACTCTATACAGAAGAGTTACATCATACAATGGATTATTAAGATAGAACACTTAAGTTGTTAATAGAAGAACAGCTAGCTTGTATGACTAGTGGAGAAGACTACCAGTGAACTAGTGCTTCTGCTCGCTGAATAGCTTGATTGAAACAAAAGTGTCTAACATGGAGGCAGTAGCCAAACTTCAGTGAGAGATGGTAGTTTTACGGCAACTCTTCTTACTTCCTCTTGCAGTTGCTGCTGTTCCTGAAAGGGTTCTCAGAGTCTGAGCGGAACAAACTGGCCATGTTGACAGGTATTCTGCTAGCCAACGGAACGCTTAATGCATCAATTCTCAACAGTCTTTACAATGAGAACTTGGTTAAAGAAGGTAAGTGTTGCCCAACTCCTACTCTAGGGAAGGATGGTGGGGACAGAACCATGACAAGCAGGTGGAAATTGTGACAACAGTACACCCTTGCAGCTCACTAGTTTCATCTGGTGATAGATTTACTACAGCATTAGCAAAGGTAGACATGCTGCCTTGCAACCTGGAAGGTCTTGCTAAGACTTGAGAAGACTAGTCTTTTCAGAAAGCTTGTGTGTAGGACTTGTGCTGGTGTCATTAGTGTTGCCCAGCAAGGCAGTACTGTATTTTGGAGAGGGACCTTTCGGGATGCAGGTGTGTCATGTCTTTAGGCTCCTTCCTAAATTGCAGGAGGGAGAGTTGAGTTTAGTACAGGGAAGCCTTCATGATGCTGAGTGGTGAGAAAAGTCCAACGTGCCAGAAGCTGCAGTATCCTCAGGCAGAGGTACTGCAGACTGTGCTAGGGCTGCCTCTGGGCACGGCTGCTGCTGCTTTGAGCAGGGGTCTGACAAACCAGGTGCCCTGTACTCTCAGGCCTTATGATTCCCTTTGTTTTGAATTTCAACAATAATAATGCTATTCCTGTTGCACAGGTGTTTCTGCAGCTTTTGCAGTCAAGCTGTTCAAATCATGGATAAATGAGAAAGATATTAATGCAGTGGCTGTCAGTCTTCGTAAAGTAAACATGGATAACAGGCTGATGGTGAGTACCACTGAAATTACTGATTTACTACTTAAGCCACTTTAGTAAATGGCATTTACCAGCAAAGTACGCAACACGCATTTCTTTTTGTGAAAGAGTTGTTGTAAACTTTGTTTTCAGGAACTCTTTCCAGCCAACAAACAAAGTGTTGAACACTTCTCCAAGTACTTCACTGAAGCAGGACTGAAAGAACTTTCCGAGTATGTTCGGAACCAGCAAACCATAGGAGCTCGGAAAGAGCTGCAGAAAGAACTTCAGGAACAGATGTCACGGGGAGATCCATTCAAGGATGTAAGTAGTTGTCTGTAGACAAGGTGTAAGTGCTTTTTTATTTTCTTTCTTTTTTCTGTAGGAACTTAGCTCAAATTATCTGAAATACAATAGCATCTAATACTAATCTGAAGATACATGCCTAATTAAATACTGAACACCTAGCTCTCGCTGAGAATTAAAATTAGGATCGGGGTGTTTTGGTATTAACTTTGTAGCCTTTCCTTAATGTCCTGAATCCTGCTGTATGATCAAGGGGGTTGTTTGTGGTTCTGAAGGCTCCTAGGTCACCTTTAGAACAGAAGTTTTAATTTAGCTTAGTGTTGTATGTGGCCTGTGTGCTGACTCTTCTGCTCTAACTGACAGATAATCTTGTACGTGAAGGAGGAGATGAAGAAAAACAACATCTCGGAACACACTGTGGTAGCCATAATCTGGTCCAGTGTAATGAGCACGGTGGAATGGAACAAAAAGGAGGAGCTGGTAGCAGAGCAAGCCATTAAGCACTTGAAGGTATTGTGACTTAAGTATGGATTTCTGCACCCGCTGGGTAGGGCTTGGGCTTCCCTCTGTCTCCAGCTCCCTTTTAAATGAGTTAAAACCTACAGCTCCCCTAACGCGGAGACAACATTAGACAGGGAATTCTTCCCCTTGTAACTGTGGTACTGTAGTCCGAGTTACTGAGGCAAAAGCAGTATGACCTTGCAGAAGCACTCTGGGGTGGGGCAGGGGTTGCAAATTTCTAAGCAGTGGCTGATGGAAACTGCGTGAAACCAGTCTGGTCAGGCGATACATGTGAAGTGCTCTGCGTGTGCCAATCTGTCGTTCCTGTTACAGCAATACAGCCCTCTACTTGCTGCCTTTACTACCCAAGGTCAGTCAGAGCTGACTCTTCTGTTGAAGATTCAGGAGTATTGTTATGACAACATTCACTTCATGAAGGCCTTCCAGAAAATAGTGGTGCTCTTCTATAAAGGTAACTTCTGTGGGGTTGTGGTTTTGGGGGGTGACTTTCTGTTTGGTTGGGTTTTTTTAAAGCCTTTATTTGCAGAATGCTTCAGTCCTGGTAAGACCTTTAGGGAGGATCAGTGCTACAACATTGCACTTCACGAGCTGAAGAATTTTCTACCTTCTGTTTGCAAAGATGGAGCGGTGAAATGCAAAGGTGGATGCGGCTGTCCTTGGCACATGGGGAAGTACTCCTCTAGACAAGGATGCTGCCTGTCTACTAGATTTTAAGAGTTGTGTTAGATCAAAGCTAAATTCAGATTTTTAAGTCTCTCTGGCCCTTTTAAGTTAG